TAAAAACTTCCAGGAACTAATTTGGTTAAGACATATATGTGTCGACATCTGATCAATCCCTTAGCTTTTCTGGCATCATCCTGTACCCATTGGGTAGTATGGGACTTGGCTTCAGTCAGTACAGAATCAAATTTCATGTTTACAAATCCTGAACTAAAACCTAAGCATTTTCAGTGGTCAGGAGGCAGTGCTGAAAACACAATTTCTATATGCTGCTATGTATTTTCCAGGTCTATGCCATGCAGAGAGAATTCACAGATCTATGTAGCTTCTCTTCTAACTTTTAGATAGAAACTGGCATTGCATTTACAAATTTTTTTGTTCCTCAGCCTATGATCTAGTACATGCTGGTAGTCTTCAAGAACAAGGGTACATGAAACTGTTTTTTAAGGCCTGCTAGGCATTTTTTGCTACTGCCTTTAAAGATGTGGGACTTTTTGAAGCTTGTATGTTAACTAAAGGACTGTGATGTTCTCAACTTGCTAAACTATACCACTTTACATAGAATATTTATCTGCAGTTGTATGTTCTTTCATTAATGTCCAATTTTTGATGTCTGCAGTTAAACTCATCCAGATTTACTACGATCTTCAGGATTGCTTTTCTAAATGCATAATTTTTTAATTGGAACTGGTAGGTTCAGCTGGCTGATTTATTTTTTTTTTTATGGTCAGGGCTTTTATTTATGGTCTGAAAATGGATGATCATTTATTTAATGTGATTGAACTTTGTTTGTCAAACCATGTTCTGATTTAATGTTTTGTCCAGGAATAGTTTCAGCTGCTATCAGCACATTTGTGGCAAACTAGATGGAATGTTGTTGGTTTTGAAGTACACAAAAACACTTTTCAGGTGTTTAAATGTGTTGTGCCAGTAGGAAACATGGTATTGAGCTGGAAATCACTGGGAGCCAACAGTGGAGGAGATAAGGTTAAGTGACAAATCACTAAAGTACAGAAACAAAGGAAGCAAAGTAGCTCAATTTCTCATTTCCTTTTCCTCTTCTGCAAAAAAAGTCAGAATGATAAATGCCAAGCAGTAACAAAAAATGCTCATAAGGTGTCATTTTAACTGTTGACAGCACACCTTGAAGGTATTATTAGTTTTATTCCCATCGAACAGATCTTGCCACAGAACTCACCGTCATCACTGTCACAAACACCAGAGCTGGTGAGCTCAGGAGAAAAGCTTGTGACAAAAGTAACCTTGTCCTGCGTGCTCTGGTCTCACCATCAGCCCCTATAGCCCAGTATTCACTTGACTCTGTCATGGGTAAGGCTCAACATTTCACAGATCCCCTGTTAAGTTCAAAGCTCAGCAGCAATGACCTATAAGCAGAGGCAGCTCTTAACTAGCTGTATCTTCATCTGACTCCCTCAGAGGCTGATGTGGAAACCATCCTTCAGACTTACGGCTTCAAGAGCTCCCATATACTCTGGGCACGCTGGTACTTCTGGGCAAGACAAAACAGCACACTAGAAGTATGGTTAATAGCTGTACTTTTGTAATTGTTTATAAACAATTAGCTCATCAGGCAGATTTTATTGATTTTGGGGATAATAACCCAGAAAACAAAAAATATACAAGTGCAGAGTTGACAGTGAAACAGAAAAACTGTTCTGGGTGAAATTTCTGACAGACCTAAGATCATCAGGACTCCAAGTCCAACTTTCAGAATGACACAGGAACTCTGACATCTGAATCCCACAAAAAAAGCCAGGCTAAATTTTTAATGTCAAAGACTGCAGGGACCCTGTAAAGGGTTAGTTTCTTTAAAATATGTTTCTGCTTTTAAAGTGAATCTGTATTGAATCTTGATCACAGAGTGAGGCAGATGTAGCCAAAACCTGCTTATTGTCTCTGACAAAATGAAGAGGGTTCCAGGAAGAGGAAGAGGGGACACAAAGGTGAGATTGCATGACATGCATAATCCTTCAATTACCAGGCTGCTAGTGGGTGGGTCAGCACTTGAGGTGGATTACAACTGTCTCCGAGGTCTTACACTGTATGATGTTGCCAGCCGCCAGCTTGTAGGAGCCAGTCTAGCAATCACGGACCAGTGTCCCTGTTCTTTCCTCAGACCACATTCCTTCTCCCAGCCAAAAGCAGGAGGGATGGTCTAGCTCTGCCAGTGACTCTCCTTACACTGGAGACACTAACAAGGATAGATCTGTGGGGCTTACACAGCTTTGCACTGTAGAACAGACACTGAACCTTTGACTCCTGAGGATATCTATCTTCAGACAATACAATTTTCATTCTGAAGATGAAAGGGCTGCTGAGGTGCCATTGATTGTTTTGGAAATTATTTTCACCAAAGAATGCTGGTACCTCTCCCAGTCTGAATTAACAGCCCACCAGGGCTGGAGGCAGGAGCGTTTCTCTAACAACAGAACAATGATACTACTTATTTCACTTATGCCACAAATCACACAGCTTGATAGCCTGGAAAAGTTGCTGGTATCCATATTTCATTTTAGAATGTATAAAGACATTCATCTGATTTGTAAGTACAATAGTAAGTGTGAATGCTCTGAGAAAAGTCATATTGGTCACACAATCCATAACAGCCAGCTCTAGGCTTTAAGCCTGAAGGTGAAAACATATATGAGGTACAGTTTCTTTTGTGTTATCAGGAAGCCTATATTATTGATTAACAACTTGTATTGGATTTTGTCATATCTTTTGAATAACCTCAGTAACTACTTAATAAAACACTTCAGAGTAAGTAAAATAATAATAAATAGTGTTCTCTTTTGTACCTTGTCAAAGTTGAGTATTACTTCCTCCATCTGTTTAACCTATTCACTGATGTGTTTTGGCATTGCTATGTAATATAATAGCATTCTTCAAAACAGCACATTCGAACACCTTCCCAGCTGCTTTCTTGTGTAATAGCTGCGCTTTTTGCCCTTACTGGTACTCCGGTATGGTCACACTTGGCACAGAGGGCAGGGTGGTATTTTATTCCAATCATCTGACACACCATGCTTGTTTTGGCTTAACATAAAAGTATGTTTCCTTTTACCAAGTTCATGACAAAGACATGCTTCTCTGACTTACAAAATTTCTGGCATGATCAGTTTATTGAGCTGAGGATAATCACATGGTATCATTGTTAAGCAAGAAATGAATCACAGAATCATAGAATCATAGAATCAACTCATTTGGAAAAGACCTTTAAGATCATCAAGTCCCACCATTACCCCAGGACTGCCAAGACCACGACTAACCATGTCACTAAGGGCCTCATCTACATGGTTTTTTGAACACTTCCAGGGACAATGATGCCACCACATCCCTGGGCAGCCTGTTCCAATGCCTGACCACCCTCTCTGTGAAGAAAGTGTTCCTAATATCCAATCTAAACCTCTCCTGGTGCAGCTTGACGCCATTCCCTCTTGTCCTATCATTTGTTACCTGGGAGAAGAGACCTACCCCCATCTCACTACAACCTCTTTTCAGGTAGCTATAGAGAGCGATAAGGTACCCCCTGAGCCTTCTCTTCTCCAGACTAAACCTCCCCAGATCTCTCAGCTGTTCCTCATCACACTTGTGCTCCAGACCCTTCATCAACTTTGTTGCTCTTCTCTGGACCTGCTCCAGCACCCCAGTGTCTTTCTTGTAGGGAGGCGCCCAGAACTGAACACAGGATTTGAAGTGCAGCCTCACCAGTGCCCAGTAAAGGGGGATGATCACTGTCCTGGCCCTGCTGGCTATGCTATTTGCTATTCATTTGCTATTTGCTAAAAGCTTCAAGAAGAAGGTGCTTTTAGGGTGTTTTCTAAAAACAGCCATTCTCTACTTCCATCCCATGTCTGATCCCTTTATATGGGAATGCTTTACTTGCAGCAGTCAAGGCCTTCATGACCTGCACTGTCCCACAAGCATGTGAACACTGGAATGCTCCATGGATTTAAGCTCCAAGTGGGAGTCAATGAACACTCTTGTGTCAAAGATGGTCAAGGACACACACAAAACCCCAATCCAACAAATTTAAAGGATCTACTTGATTTCTCTGATTAGTCATAACTTCAGCGGAGATCCTTACACTAACTAGATAAGTCTTGGGTAGAGAGGAAACAACATTTTCAAAGAATTAATTTTCCTGATTGATACCACTCTGGCTTTGCTTCCACTGAGATTCAGTGAGTTGTTCCTCATCAAAACTCTCATTTTGTGGAAGTTGCCTGAAGCTTCAGTTTCTGAAACAGTAGGTAAATATATTCGGTGAGCAAGAGACATGCAGCCAACATCCCTGCAGACAAGGGAGCTCCTGGCATTATACTTCTCTCCCAGTCTCTCAGTTCTGTTGAAAAACCACTAGATGGATCCCTCTGGGACACTGTTTTCAAGAACTCTGCAGTGAAAGATGCCTAACAGCTATGGCTCGTTTCTTCCTGTCAGCTGAATACAAAAAACTCCATGTAGAATGGGAAATGCATGCAGAAGGCCCAGCTTCTTTCAAAGGTCCAGATAGCTAAATCTGAAAGGCTGTGAAAGGAGTGGGGCTGAAGAACATCCCATATTTGACCAATAGAGATGAAGACAACACAGCTATTCAGAAAACAGCCTGGGAGGATTCTTCACTGGGGTTCTGCCGTACCCAACAAAGCACAGGATCAGGAAAGGAAAGAAAATAGTTCACCCTACTTTCAAGTATTCTTATACCAACCTTCTCAAAGTGTGGCTTCAAGGTGAGGCTATCTGAACAGCAGAAATGATGAAGAATTTTTGTTACAGCTAAAAAGTCACCATATTTGATCATACACTACACAGTAGCAACTGCTGATTTTACTCTGGAGGCTTTTGGATCTTGTGATCTGACAAAACACTACAGTTTTAAAGCCCGTGGTTCTCCAGCTGGATTTTATTTCTCTCGTGGTTTGGCTGAAAGGTATGAGTGCATGTGTGTGTGTATTCATGCACACTCACCCACACACGTCACCATGCATGAGTATGTATGCATGTGTGTTACATCCACTTCATGTTGCAGGTTTTCATTTACAGGACTTCTGGTGGACGATCAGTCTGTCTGGAAGAAAAGTACGCCCACAGATATCACATGGAACGAGCTGGTTCTGGGCGCTGATCGAGGCAGCCTCATTCAAAGAATCGAGATCATACATGCCTCTGGCTGGAAAAATAATAAAAGAAAGTATCAGCTTTCATTCTGGAGACCCACATTCAACTCTTTATGGAAAATATTTTCAGGAAATACCTGTTGACTGAGCCTTTCAGTTTAACCAAACCATATTGCTTTTGCAAATGAAAAAGAAAGGAAAGAAAAGAAAAGCAAAAGAGTAAAAAAATACATAAAAAAAGACTTTTTTGTCCCAAGGGTTGAATTAAATTAACTTCAAACTGAATTATTTTGTATTGTATAAGAGTACAGAGAAAACAGCATGCTGTGTGTTATGATATGCATTCTCAGCTAATTATTAACATCTTCGCATACATACTATTACCAGCAAATTTCACTTTTTGGCTTTACTTCGAGTTCTGTTTCATGAGCATGTGTTATCTGACCATAGCAATGGGCAGGAACATATCACCCTTGAGAATATGCTCTTTGTACTGTTCTGGACAAGGGGCCAAATTTTCTCCCCATTGAAGTCTATGCAAGTTTTGTCAGTAAGTAGAGTTAAGCTTAGGTAAGCCTAAGACCTTTACAGACAATACCTACAGTTCTTGTAAGCCACAACTTCCAGTGAAGTCATTGCACTGATGCAGCTACTGTCATCTAAACACTAGCCCAGTCTTACCCTCAGATATTTTCCACTGTGGGAAGAGTGACTGCTCTGAAAGCTCAGGAGCATTCTTCATTCACTCACTCACTCACTCACTCACTCACTCACTCACTCACTCACTCACTCACCACTCACTCACTCACATCAGATGTATTTTCAATATTTTGAGTATTAAAATAATTTGGTTTATTTTCATCTTGAAATGGACTTTCAGATAGTGTTGTTTCAAACTGATTTCCAAAAAGGTGAGGTAGGTTGCTTAATACCTGGATTTAGATCTTAAAGAGTTTTCATTTGAAGTGCATGCAGAAAAAAATGTACATGGCTTGATTTGAAGATGCTTTGCCCTTCTCAAAAAGGTATGACAATAGAGAAAAAGGACAAAAAAATTAGTATTGTCTTTGTACTGTTAGCAGCAGACAATTTTTAAAAGAAAATGATTTGTGCATTTAAAAATATTCCATGGTTTCTGTCACTGGCACATGATAGAGCTCTTCATTAAAGGCCCATACAGTTTTAATATGATTCATATCCATTGGTTCACATAACCACAATAAGCCTTAGATCTCTTAATATGCCTGTTCCTAATGTTCTTTTTGTTAGAAGAGCAACCAAGTAGTGTTTCTTTTCTTGGCTGAGACAAATACCCCCTTTGCTTGCAGGAAATGAATGTGTATTTTCTGTACTTCGGAAAGTTTATGGAATATAA